AAGTGCTTCATGAATAAGGATGGTCAGAAGAAAGCAACTTCACAAATCATATGGAAATCTGGGTGTAAACCTGACAACTCTGAGAAAAGACATATTCCCTGCCCTTTGGATGGAATCCTTTCAGATATCTTACTGAAAATTTCAGGCGTGTCCCACTGAATCTCTTTAGATGAAGAAAAGAATGAGGCAGAACAGGATTAGTATCAGCCTTTAATGATAAAAGCAGTTTACTTATCCTATTTCTGTCCAAGTTCACATTTGTACTGTGTGCACCATTGCACCATCTATGCAAATAGATGGCCAGGGCTGTGATTAAACTAAATGCTTTTCACTAAATGCTTTTCACACACACATACAAAAATGAACTCATAATGGTTATGATCAAATGAATCCATCAATTCTTGCCCATTTGAGTAATTTTAAATTTCAAGTTTTGAGTCTTTTTCTCCATTAGTATTGATGGTCTTTTTAACATTTTCAGCTCCAATAAACACGGTCTGAACAAATAAACTTTAAATTCATCAATTTTAGATGCCGATTAAGGAGAAAGTATTTGACCAACTCTCATAATTAATTGTTGAGGCCCTTTAACGGAGGGTTCTCAGATCGCAGACTGACTTTTGGGGGCCCCTGCGGGTCCAAGGCCACAGCAGACAGCCGGCAGGAAGTGTGAACCAGGCGCCGCCCCACCCCGTGCGCTCACGGGCAGCCCTGGCGCTCAGGGCTTGCCGACTGCTCCCTGTGTCCACTCTCTCTCTTTCCTTCCTACCGTAACGATTTCACTTTTTTCTTGGTACAGAAAGTTCTGTGAGGATGACATGGTTTGGGAACAACTTTAGACTATGAACAACAAAGAGCTTCTTTTGTAAGCCAAGTGTTTATTATACACTAACTGCAATGTTGACTATCAGGATTTACAACTTTAAAAATCTACATTAATTTCCTACATTTTCAAATGTATCCAGCTCTCCCAGCAATGTTTAAATAGAAGATTTAATGATAAAGATTGGGCTGAATTTAAATATTGTGTCAAGCAAGTATCTGTGCTTCTGAATATAGACAAGGTTTCCTCCCACCTTCCCGAATAAATGAGGGATAATAGAACAAAATAATGTAAAAAAGAGGTACAATTGTGCTTTTCTCCCCAACAATGAATGAACTGTGTAGAACAAACTGGCAAGATAATCTCACTAAAAATCTTTCAATTAATATTATTTTCCCTTGTAAAAAAACGCTAATTTCTAATAATGCTACCATGAAGTACAAATCAGTATGGTCCTACACAAAACGAAAGCTGGATTCCTTTGGTTCCATTCCTCAATAATAAGTTGAGTAAATTAGGATGGTATTGATCTTTCTTACCAAATAAATAAAAGCAAGTGTGTTTTATATCAGGTAATGAATGGATAGGAACAACTTTTTTAATTCCAAAAAGCTGCCTATGTAACTTCAGAAACATTTAAACTAACATAGCACTCAACATATTTCTTAAATCAGGAACAATAATATTGTTCCTCTGAGAAGCCCTTTTCCAGGTCTTTCTGCTGTCCTTTAGATTTATACAGGGTACAAATAAAGTTCACAACCAAATTGCCCCGCTTGTGATAAGCAGGATTCAAACAATTACATTCACCACTCCCTAGGGAGGGCCCATTACCATGGGCAAATATAGTATCACTATAAATACATTTAGAATTAGTCTTTGGCTTAATATGTGTTAACCAAATTCAGGGGTAAAATAAAACTTGCATAAACATTAAGGGGAAAAAAAGAAGAATGACACAATTAACTGGGATGACCTATCTGGCCCTTCCTCTTAGAAATGCAGAAACGCTACCAAACATCTCTAACATCTCTTTTTGGTCAAATGGTCCCTCTTAATTTCCAGACTCTCCCATATAAGGTGACTAAAAGTTAAGTCTGAGTACCTTAGCTTAGGAGATCCATTCAATTCAAAAAGCATTTCTTGAGATGATAAAAAAGATGATATAAAGTAAAAAAGGACTAAAGCCTGAGTCATGACACAATTTGATCAGTAGACTATCTAGGGATGATGATGATGGGGAGTCAATTTTAAGTTAAACACCCATCAACAAGCTGTTTTAGTGTTTCATGTGTACATGTGTAAATGTACCTTTCATTTCACAACTTGTTTTTAAATAAGAGAAAAAAAGAAAAATTCTAAAAGTTACCTTTGTCTAAGGATTTATTTCTTCTTTTAAACACAGGTTTTTATGCTGGTTTAAATTTTATCTTCATAAAGTGATCCACATCCCCACATACACAAAGGCAGAATCCCCCTATCCCGAATTAACTAGAGAATATAGACAGGGCAGGGAAGAGAAGACCATCGTACTGACATTTAAAGCTTAGTATCTTCTTTTTTAATATTGAAGTCTCTTGGTGAATCTTATTTGGGAGAGGGAGCATTTGTGAACCACACAGGAAAACAAACAAACACAGCCTTTCCTTGCTCTTCCTCTTAATCCATTGGGCTTGAGTCCCTTGGGTTTCAACACTTCCTTTGGTAGCGATTTTGGGAAATTAATGCTACAACCTCTAATCCAGTATGGTGGGTATCAGCACTTCCCTCCCTGAATCGTTCCTCCTAATTTACCACTCCCAAGGGAGGGACTCATCATTACGGGCAGGGCAGCTACAGTATTACTGACAGCCCTAAAATCATTTGCACAGACTAACATTAGAGATGTCAAATCAGGATAAAAGATTAAATTCAACTACATCAGAGAGATAGTGGGATGAAGAGGAGAAAAATTAGTAACTGACACTGCCATTCTATTTACACACCAAACTAAATAAACTACTTAAAAAATCAAGTTAATGTCTGCCCAGAGGATAGATATTACAACTTACCAACACAAAAGGTTAAAACAAGCAGCAACTTTTACATAAAATTAATAAAGACAAATGAAAAAAGAAATTGTCAGTAGCATCTATCTCCTCAATGTGTCTGAACTGCACGATATAAACTAGTCCATTAGTACAGCAGCTTGCTAAAAATTGACTTTGGTTCAAGCTTAGTCAAAAAAACAACATAAAAAAACATACCACACACAAAAACGGTGGATGGACATTTGTTAGTTTCCCTGCTTGCAGTTCATTGATTTTGGAGGGATTTTAGGAAGGTGAAGGGTAGTTAATTAAATACTTTGTGAAATAAAATGGGAAGACAGAAGGAATAGAAGAAAAATTAACAAGGGAACTAAAACATTTCTGGTCTTTTAATATTACTATGCCTGTCTCCCACTTGGATGATCACAAACAAAAATGCACATTGTGTCTGAATCACTGCCTTTCCCAACATTGTGAAGAGACAAATACACAGAATCCAAGCTCCCTTGTGGATATAAGCAGAGCATGCAGAAGAAAAATTACCTGTAAGCTCTCTCTCAGCCCCCAGCTCGAAACGGGGAAAAAGTGCAGTCATAGGACCACCGGAGATGTAAGCAAGCACCCACAAACACCAGATGGGAACCTTTCACTCCAATAAGAAGGGAGCTCAGATGAGCTGCACTGCAGTGATCCAGTCTTTTGGGAACTTTTTGGATACAGATACTATAATAATAGAACACTGACAAAAAGGGGAATCTAATTTCCAAGTTACCCTCATTCCTCTTCATCTACTTCCATAAACACTTCCTTTTCATGGGCTCATTTACATCGTCTAGAAATACCCTGAAAACAATTACGGAAGCTAATCGCCTTCTACAACGAACAGAGACGTGTATTGCCATTTAGACCTACCTAGCAGGAGCATCACTAACAAACCAAGGAGACACTTGAGGTGTGTGCAAAGTCCCTGCTCAAAGTCTTTCAAAGGTTCTACAGATCCCATGCCCGGCTAATGAGTGCCTTCTCTAGTCAGAGAACCAAGGAGAGCGTCAGGGTTAGAGGAATTGATAAGCCATCTGGTGAAAGTCTGTAGCTAACCTCAGACTCTTCTCATCACACCTCTTTCGGTGATCTATAACCAATGGAAAACAGTCTAGTAGAGTTCCTTCAGAAAACAAAAGAAGGGAAAAGTTTCCCAATTTCAGTAAGTTATTTTGTTCTTTGCCAAGTAAGTTAAAGGAAGTTTGCATGAAAAACTTCCACAAAATGGAAAAAACAAACACACACACCAACAGTAGAGCATTTCAGGAGATAAGAAATCAGGAGAACCACCAAGTTAGGTGTCTGCAGTAGTCTTTGCTCTTCGGAACCAAATCCTGCCCTGCAACATGTACAGCCATTCCTGTTGAAAGTAGCAGAAAGCAGCACTGTTGCACCACAGGATCTGGGCCTCAGGTCATTCAATTTTGGGGTGA